TAAGGACAGAAAGTCCGCTGCCGGACCAGTCATGTTTCATGAGGCAAAATACCATTGGTGTGAAGTATTCTGGCTCTGAAAATTCTCGAAGCACAGAGTTCACGAGCTCACTGGCTGCTTTTATAAAGCCTGAAGGCTTCACGCCCATGTAATTCCTACTGGGTTTTCAAGATGACAAAGGAAGGAAAACAGAAAGAGGGAGCATTGCTTCCTTTCCATACAAACAACACGGTGACCCCTGAGGACCTTGGTGCAGAGCGGGGCCTCCTTGGGCCCAGCCGTCCCCACTGGTCTCGTTTCAGCTAAGCCCATGGATATACTCAGGACTTGGGGACCAACCGGCTATGGAAAGAGCCCACTATACTCTGAAGGAAAAAAGAAGTTACTATCCTTCCAAAAGTTACTTGTCACTGTGCTCCAAACTCACTTCACATGTAGGACAGACAGTCTGGTCAACCATCTGAGGCCTCTCTCCCAACACCACCACCGTTTACAGTGTGAGAACAGATGCCAAAAGAGCTGGGTACGTTCCTTATATGGTGCTTGGCAAGGTGGCCACCACACAGAGCCACCCACCCAGGGACAAGTCTCAGCATGCACTAAGGGACCAGGGCAGGTGACACCACAGGTCCCTTATCTCTCCTGGTGTGCTCCGCAAGGGGACTTGTCAGGAAACCGACTGTGGTGACCCTGCATCTCTGGCTGACTGCTCTGTGAAGCACAGCACCTGCCCCTTGGCACTGCCGAGAATCCAATATTGGGGTGCTGTTGTAAACCAAAAAGTGTTCTGCAAACACAACGGATTGTAATGAATGAAGTAAGTGAGAAGAGCCCTGCTATCGCCATGACAACAATGAGCCTGCTCCCCCACCACCCACCATCTCTAGGCAGCCAGAGGTGTGTTTGTAGCAGGGAGGCGGCGGCTCTGCCTGGGTGCCCTCCAAATGCACAGACACTTGACAGGCTCCAGTGTGATAGCAGCTGCTGCTGTCTCCCCTCTTGTGGCTGGGTGTCTGGGTCAGAACAGAAGTGCTATGCATGTCCTCAGTGAGAGTGGCGGTAGGGGAGGCAGAGGCCTGCAGAACCCGCACTGGCCCGAATGCACTGGAGTCAGCGGCCCATCTGAATCAGCACTTAATCTAACATTTGCTCCTCAAAACCTTTTCTTACAAGGAAGAGACTGGTTCTGGAAGGAACCTCAAGGCAGGACAAGACCTGGTTCTGTCCAGCCCTTATGCGCAGGGCAGGCTCATAAGGAAGGTTCACAAAGCTGAGGCGGAGAGGACTGGGCGCACACCGAGCCCCAGGGGAGAGCATCACGCTCAGGAGGAGACCTGGCAGCCCATCTCAAATGCTGTCTCTTATCTCACATGTCCTCTTCGCGCCGGTTACCATGACGGGGACGCTGAGGCCTCCACAGGGCACCCTCTTCTCCACCAGGCTCAGGCCCACAAGGACCAGTGCAGGTTAATGGCCAGTGAGCGGAGCAAACCAAGGCGCGAGGCCCGGAGCAGCACCAACGGCACCAGCAAACACAAAGGAAGCCGAACGAGGAAGACGAGCGGACACGGGCTAGGGCTGAGCAGGGGCAGGGACACCCCCAGGGACGATGAAGTGTCACCACTTGGGGATACTTCAGCCATCCTGGCACAGGCTCAGGGCGCCGGTGCTGTGGGAAGTGACCACATGGGGACCCGCAGGCCTCCCCAGACAGACATTTCCGGGAGGACACACAGTGGCCCCCATGGGGACAGAGGCATCTCCCTTCTCCACTGGATCTAGAGGCTCTTCTAGGATGGGGCGGTGAGGACAGCGCAGTACTTTTCCACAAGCTCCCAGTGACAGGGAAGTGCTCCCTGGACCCAGCCGGTCCACCCTCCATAAACTTAGGTACAGCAGTCAACGCCATCCTTTAAAGACGCCGGCACCTCTTTTCCCTATTTTCCATGAGAACCAGAGTGAGTGCGGAAACAGTTACCAGCACGGAGCAGGCTGTGTTCAGGGGAACAGCTGCCTCCACTTCCTTGGGAGACTGGCACCCACAAGACAGGAAGGGTCTTGAGGACACAAGCCCCAGCCCAGCACCCAACTCACCGAGACCCCTGAAAACCCTCCAAGTCTCGGACCTGCTGAGCTCCTCAGCACTTTCAGGGAAACCCGAACACTCCCTGCACCCCCTGCTGGCCACTTGGGGCTGCGCCCGGCCTTGATGGGGCCTCCAAGGGGTCCCGCTGCTCCCTCCAGGCAGGGCCACCTCCTGCTCCTGGACCCTCAGCATCTGGCGGAACAACGGACAGAAAGCACTGGGCTCTACCCACTGAGGGGCCCTGTCCACTGAGACAGACACCCAGCGCACACCTGGGCACCACAGGAGACTGGGAGAAACACCCCCAAAGGCTTGCTTTTCTTCTTCATTTTCAAATTTCTTTTAATCAACTTGTACTTTAATAATGAAAATCAATCACTTTTAACAAAAAGGACATCATTACTGCCCTCTCAAAAACTTTAACCACAGTCATCAGAACATGTGGCACCTTGAGACTTTCAAGGTGTCCCCAGCACAGTGGCCTCAGGGAACCCACTCCTGGCCCTGAAGCCACGCACACTGATGCTGACATCTGCTCTCCTGCCCCACGGCCCTGTCCCATGTCCTGAACAAAGGCTACCTGTCCCCCTGCACCTTACCAGGCACACTGCCCCAGGGTAAAAAAACTCTTTGGGGCACAAACCATAGCAGGCCTGAAATACTGATGTGGACAAAAGCACCACCGGCAACAAGCCCTGGCCAGCGGGTGGTTTCCAAGTCTTCCTCCTGAAGAGGACTGAGGAGTGGCAGGTCTCTAAGAGTTAAGCCGAGGACATGCGACAAATACCAAAGACTGTCCGGGAAGCAGGGACCCAGCCCCAGGTCTACGCCAGAGCCTCCATTCCCGCTGACCTGTCTACAAAAAACGGGGACAGCGCAGCGCTGACCCGTCTCACTGGAGGAGTAAGTGCCGCTCGCCCACCGGCCAAAGCGCTGCATGATGGTGCCTAATCAAACTCAACTTCCTGTGAACAATCTGTACTATCTTCTGCCGTTTTGATCACCACGCACCAGAAATTACAGACAGCTCAAGACCGGAGCAGAATGCTAACACTCAGAACTCGGTGGTAACAAAAAACAAATTTAAATGTGTACACACATATTTTTATAGCAGATTTATGCTATGCTAGACGTGGCATTTTTACATGTGAATTCCTAAACACATGTACCCAGCTGTGCTCCGTGTCTCCCTTGGTGCCCTAGGCCACCCCGTTTCCTAGGGCACCATCCAAAGGCCCAGCTCCAGCCATTGACACCCTTGCGCCTCCATTAAGCCTTCAAAACCCCCTGAAAACACAGATTTGGTGGCTGAAGGACAGCCCTGTGTTCCAAGCTAAAAGTGATCGAAATCCGTATTGTCTTAAGTTATTTTGGGAGGACACTGAGTATATCCACGCGTACTTGTTCCAAACCTCTTGCCTTCACACAGATGCCAGCACTGAGGCCCCTAACTGTCCCTGCAGGTTAGGACCCAAGGTGAGGACAGATGAGCGTGGCACCTACCTCCGGGTGTGCTTCCTCGGAGCCCCACGTGGCTTCTGGTGCCAGCAGTTTCTCTGTTGCTGGCACCTTCTTCAGCTTTTTGCTCTTTTTCTCTGGCACTCCGGTATCTTTCCTCTTCTGTTTCACCATCCTGCCACAGGGAAAGTAAATTAGAAATAAGAGGTCTTGGGCCATAAAATATTTTTATATTCTCCCATTATGAAAGAAATACAAAGCTATTTCAGAAAATACAAAGAATATATGAAAGTAAAAAGAGCGTCCAATCCCCAAGTTTCATCACCTTAGACAACCAACTTAACAATCTGGTGACTTTCCTCCTCTTTCCTGAGGTTTACAGTTGTTCATATGAAAAATAATACAATTACTAAATAATAACACGAGAATAAACTCTTTCACATACTCACAGCTGTAAATCTACATCTGCACCACCCTGTATATTCTGTATTTCTAACTAAACATGAACACAAAGAGAAACGTCATTTTAATGACAATCAAAATTTTCCAAAAGTGCAAATCACAAAAATTTGTCTATTTCTTAATTATTTGAGGTTATTTTTATTTTTTGGTATTATGGACTAACTCATGCTTCCCCACCAACCAGGGAGGCAGCCGGGAGCCGCATGCGCCCCATCACCAGGCATTGGGTTGCCTGGAGCCATGAAGAGTCTGGGGTGGCCTCCTTGGAGTGTGAAAGCAGCAGCGACTGGGGCCACGCCTTTGTGGGACTATGTCATGGGGAACCCAGAGAAACAGCAGAGGTCCTGATCCTGAAAGGATGTCTGAGGGGTCGGGTGGAGAGCCCTCCACCTCTGAGTAGGGACGTCTGAGAGGGACCAGGCTGATCTCAGAAGGAGAAGCAGGAACTGCACCAACTCCAGCTGTTGCAGTACAAGCTGCGGCTGAACGCTGGTGGGAGCAGCAAGAGCAGGAAGGAACCCCCATCCCCCACCTGCTTCCAGCCCCTTTGGGTAGAACCTAAAAAGGAGCTGAAAACAGAAAAGCCTTTTGCAGTCCCAGAAGCTGCTGTGTGGGCACCATGATGCGGTGGAAAAGGTGCCTCTGGAGCTAAGACAAGACAATACCCAGCTCCTGCAGAGACACACACACTGTCTCTCACCACACATCGTACTTAATGGAAACGACCCGATCACACACCAACAAAGGACTGAATAGACAAATCAGGATAAGCCAACACAATGGAATCCCATTCAGTAATTACAATAAATGAGTTCGAGTTGCAGATCCAGAAAGGAAAATGTAGAACGTTGTGCATTATCCAATTTTGTTTGTTTTTAATCTTTTTAATTGATTTCAGAGAGAGGAACAGATAGGGAAAGGGAGAGAGAGAGAAACATCAATGATGAGTCATTGATCGGCTGCCTCCTGCACGCCCCCTACTGGAGATCAAGTCCACAACCTGGGCATGTGCCCTGCCCCAGAATCGCACTGCGATCTCCTGGTTCATGGGTCCATGCTCAACCACTGAACACACCAGCCACTATCTAATTTTGCTTATAAGAAAATAATAGAGAAAGCTCCATTTGTATACATATATTCACATAGATAGGAAAATGTCTGAAGGGCATAAATAAAACCTTTGCCTAAAGGGGTGGGATTACAAGGAACTGTTTTTTACAGCTCAGTTTTATTTTGCTTTTTTCAAGGTTCTATACTTGAATAGTATAATTAGCAGTGTGATAAGAAATCTAGAAAGAATGAGAGACTGTTGACACAGGGGCTTTGGAAAGACAAAGAACTCTGCCAGCCAACTACCTTATTGGAGAAATAAAAAAAGTTCAGCAAATATTTACATAATAGTTACTATAAAAGTTAAATCTATATTTATTCTTTAAGTTATTAAAAAGTTTAATCCCTAAGTCTATTTACTAAAAAGGGGGAAAAGACTTTTCCACGTTATATAAAGATTTCTTTTAATAGTTCCAAAAGATGGTGACTTGTGAATTTGAGACAATGTTTATATAGAAAAAGACATTTCCTTCCATCTACAATTAATGGATTATCAACAGGGGGCTGAGACCATCTGATAGGAAAGAGCAGTCTTATCAACCAATGGAGCTGGGACAAGTGGACCCCTACCTCACACCACACACAAAAAAATTAACTCAAAAAGCATAAAAACCCCCAAACCTAGGAGCCACACTACAAAAGCCTAAAAAGAAAACATAGGAGTAACTCTTCATGTCCTTGTACTAGACAATGATTTCTTACATGACACCAAAAACATAAGCAGCAAAAGAAAAAAAACAGATAAATTTGACTCATCATAATAAAAAATGCTTGTGCAGCAAATGATGCCAGCAAGAAAGTAAAAACACAACCTACACACAGAATTGAAGAAAATACACGCGAGTCATATATCTGACAAGAAACCTGTACCCAGAATGTGTAAAAACTCTTGCAACTCAGCAATAACAAAATGTATACACACACACATATATAACAGCCTCACTTAAAAATGGGCAAAGACATTTAAATATATATTTCTCCAAAGATACACAAACAGCCAATAAGCCCATGGAAAGATGCTCAACATCACTGGTTGCTAAGGAAATGCAATGATAGGCCACAGCACTTCACAGTCACTAGGCCGGCGAGAGTCAAAGGTAACAACAGTAAGTATTGGAGGCGGTGTGGAGAAACCAGAGCTCACTCACTGATGGTGGGCCATAATATGGCCAGTCGAAATATTAACATTTTATGGGTAGACATATAAGAATGTTTATTTTTTCCCTTATACCTTTCTATAATTTCTATAAGAGAAAAAAAGACTTATTTTAAAATACCAGCTCAAAAATGCTCCGTGAAGGAAAAACAATTCCATCAGCACGAAGCTGACAGCCTAGGCCAGGCAGACAAAGAGGCTTCGATCATCCAGGCTGGGCTGCAGTCATATTCAGACAAGTCAGAGCCAACAGGCTGAGGCTGCCAGGGGCCAATGCTGAAAAGCAACTGCAGAGGACCTTACCCACCGCCCCCAGCCAAACTCTAAACCCTGGCAGGCGACAACAAGCATCTCGCCCACCATGCCCATCTCCCATCTTTCTAGCTCTTTCCAGCCACTGCTTCTTGGCACTGTGGGGTCCTTCACCTTCACCAAGACCTACAATCCACTCTCATCCCTCTTCATTCCACTTCCACAACTTCATGTCCGTGGTCCATCACTACAATCTCGCCCTTACACACACTCTCAGCTCCTCTGGCAAAACCCCAACAGAGGGAAACCCCAAGGACCAGGATGGTCTCACCAGCCCCAAGGGGCTCTCTAATGCTGCCCAGTAGCGCTACCACTTTCCCAACTGCAGCCACTCGCCGGAAGACCCGTCCATTCTTTCCCTCTCCTAATCTCAAGCTCCTGGATCGCCCCCCTTCTCCATTCTCAGTGGAAGGCCTTCACTCCCCATGGCTGAACTTCCACAAGCTCCCCCATCTACCAATCTGTCCTTCTGCCCGGTACAATGGAAACTATCCCCACTCCCACGCAGGCCAAGGGCTTTCCTTGCGCGCTGCGGCCCAGGACAGCACCCTAAGCCACCCCCCATCATTCCTCCTCCCCTCCCAATGCACCAACCACAAGGTCCCGCATCTTACAACCTCGATTCCGTGGGCTCCGCACCCCGTGTCTGCTTCCTTTTCTGGAAAAATCCTCAAGAGCGGCCACCTGCACGCCCTCCTCCCGCCTCGCCCTCCTCCGCTCTCCCACCGGGCTGTCGCCCCGACAGGCCACCAGAAGTGTTCTCCTCACACGTGCCAACCACAGAGATCCTGTCCTGGCCGAGCTCATCCCCAGGATGGCCCTAATGCCCCTCAGAAATGCCAGCTTGAGAAAACGAAAGGCTGCCAGAAATACCCAGCGGTCACCTACAAGCAGGGCCCAGCCCGCAGGCCCGCGTGTCCCCCCCCAGCCTCATTCAAGAGCCCCGCCCGCCCGTTCTCAACACAGGTCAGGT